ACTGGACAGAGGGGAAGATATGGAGGACGAGGGACTTGAACTTGCCGTACGCTTGCATGACAGTAGCACGTGCTTGAGCAAAAGGATGCCCTTGCGGCCCATGCTAAGGGCTGGATGCTCGGAGTCGATCGGTTCTCGAAGCTCGGCTGGGGCTGTAGCCTTCAATGTCCTCAGCAGACGAGTACATTGACAGATCTAAAGAAGTGGGAAAGGGAGTAATAGTAATTATGAGAGTAATAGTCTACCCTGTTGCTAGCAAACATGAGCTGCTCCATCATACGGAAGACATAACCTAGTTCACAATATACGCACACGTCCTCAGAGCAGACATGCTTCTCGGCTGCTTGCATCAATGGACGGATGAAATAGAGTATCTGAACGCCATTGCTAAGATAAAAATTCGGAGAGAAATCAGGTACATGGGTAATGGCATTGTTGCAGAACTCTATACCATTCCAGTTACTGCCACCACCATAGCTGTTGTCGAGACCACAGACAAACCTCGAGCGGTTATACTTGGCAAAGGGGAAGCGATTATAGTTCTGACCATAGTCGATCTCAGTGAACTGGAACCTAGATAAGACAGCAATGTCCACCGCTTTGCTCTACCTATGACAGCCTTCCATTACCGTCGTGGGATTCTTGCCAGACCAGTGATAGGGTCCTTCTCCTCCTCCGCACTCTCAGTGAGGATATCCGACAATTGCGACTCCGCACGAGGATGCCTGGACACAGCGACTGACCAGTATGAAGATGAGCAGCATTTGACCACTACCTATGGCGTCTATCCCTTCTCATAGTCCTCAGCTCCTCAGACATCTCGTTCATTAAACTCGTAGTATACCATAGTATTGCATTCCCTTTAATCACTGCCTCAGTAGAGGATCTCTTCATATGTACCACTGGTACCCCCGAGGCCACTCTAGGGCTATCAGGATGCTTACTGACATCTATACCTGACATAAGTCCCTCGTAAGAAGGGACCAAGTGACAATCATACCTTGAGCTTTAGCGGCATCTTTCACCGCAGGCAGGATCGTCTGTGGGGGCCGTAGACGACGACAACCGTCATGTTCATCATCATAGTAGGCTCCAGGCAGATTATTATATTGCCTACAATAGTCAATGCGGCGTGGATCCCAGGCCTAGCTTCCCAGCACCTCTGCTCCTCATCATCCGCTATTGGCTGCAGGCCAACCGGCCACAGTGGCATGACGTCTTGGTAGTTATAGCTGATATTATTGGTACGAGGATCCATCACACATAGAGGCCGCTGCCGACCGCTACGGGCTTCCTCGGCCAATACACGATTGTCAGTCGAGCCATCGAGCATACCCGTCACCAAGTGACGAGACCTTGTGTTGTGAGGAGCTGAAAGATACTGCATATACTCGGATTAGGTTGGAAGGGGGAAAGATATACCTGTAGGATTGGAGTACTGATTAACTCTAGCATGCATGCCCTGGGACTGCATAGCATTCTCAGATACTGTCTGCCATAGGTGTATCCAACCATTGTTATCGAGCAAGGCAGCCTGATGCAATACCACTCCATCGACAACTCATTCGTCATTCCACTACCGTTCCTCCAGTACTAGCTATGTCCATATCTATAACCTCTCCCATCACTTCCTTACCACCGCCCGAGCCAACACCATCACCACAGGATCCCACAGTAGAGCTATCAGACCTATGACCCTACATGATCGCCACCGAGAGCAGTATCTTCCCCTACATAGAGCTCCGTGCAATGACTGTGTTCTTATACCCTCTCGGATGACCCACAGCAACGGTTTTATAGTACCTACAACTACATATACCTACAACATGACATTGTTGACGGCAAATAGGCATACGCTGGTGACATGAGCTGTGACGCTCCAGGGACGAAGTCAGCCTGTTGCCACATACCATGTACATTGAGGAGTATAACAGAGCAGGGCAAGGCAGGATGGAATCTAACGCGCCAACAGTGAGGGTGGCCAACCGTCGATTGGACATAGCATTACTTAGCCATATAGGCCCCCGTCGGACACGATATCGGCAATGCCTGGCGTAGTGTTCGAATATCGAATATCTTCAAGAACACATCTGGTCCCACTATGGAGCCTGGCCCTTCTCTAACAATGGTATAGGTGAACTCCTGTCGGATGACCATACTGCTACCTCTTGCCGCAGCTGATGAGCCAGTGGTCTCTGCTACTGAGCGTAGTTATTTCACGAGGATGCGCATTGAGAGTCGTCAACACCTATGGCCGAGAGGTACTCAAAGTAGCAGCAAGTGCGTCAGGAGAAGCTATTACGCTACTACCTTGGGAACCCTGCCATCTACGAAGCTGATACTGCCGTTGGTCCCACCCATACACAGGACTGATGAGCGCTGAGGATTATGTAATACTGAGCAGCCATGCGGAACCTATACTGGTACTCATACAACGGTATAAGGATGACCGTCGTACGTCTATGAAGGTGCTGAGGGAACCCGCTTGCATATCCACGAAAAACAATGTCCTCTTCTCACCACCAACTACCAGATGTGACGGATTGGGTTGATAGAACTCAGCACTGCGTATAACCTGAGGACATCTCCACTACTACTACTACTACTACTACTACTACTACTACTACTACTACTACTACTACTACTACTACTACTACTAGCAGTGTAACATGACCACAACCTACGTTGCCATTTGATCCCATCCTATGAATAGTTTTATCGTCCATTATATAGTGCCGAACGCCGCCCCTAGTATGAAAATGAATGCTATGGGGAGTGACCGATATAACGCCAGATTGGTCGAATAAGAGATGCTGTACTGGGTTGTAGGAGGCAACAACCCCAGCATTAGATATTGGAGAATAACCACCACCCTCTCCATCGTAGCCCTCCTCAACCACACTACGCTCCAACCTGGCAAGCAGTAGTGATGCAGTAGCAGTGGTAGCAGCCATACCGAAAACGTGTGTAGTCGGTGAGTCCACCATTAGGCGTGAATTGCATAGAAGCCAGTCGACCCTGCTGTGTGCCCACCCAGAGGAGGTCCTCGAATCTGAAATTGTGACTATGCTGTAGTGTGGAAAATACGGGGAATTACGGATCCCATCGTAGCAGAGTAGGATGATCATTCTGGTTCAATAAGGCCGGGCACAAGGAGTGCTGCTGCATGATCTGAAATTGATGATATCGATGCTGCAGAGCAATTGAGCGTACTTGTATCCAGGTATTGCCATGGCTTTGATTCACTGGGTTACTGCCCCCCATCATAGGCATCGAAGTGCTACGCATAGATCCACCTGGTACTGGACCATTGGGTGATGGTCCTCCGCCGTCCATCATGTACTGAGAATAGCATCCATTATGAACAGCAGTACGGCTTCTAACGTACTCCGTAGTGGGGATCCGTAGGTGGTGGATGGTGGTACTCATCCATACTGGACATCATCATCATACGAGGTGGAGGCGGGGGCGCTGGGCCAATCATACCACCTATCACAACACCACATACAAGGGTTGCTACTGTAGACGGCAGCAGTCACCTGGACCCGACTCCATCATTCCTTGATGGAGTGGTGGAGGCCCTCCAGGCAGCATCATACCGGAGTGTGGCATTAGAGGGGGAGGTGGACCAGCCATCATCATGGGGTGATGGTGGTGATGATGGTGACCCCCAATACCAGGCATCGGCTGCATGTGCATTGACGGCGATGATGATATAGCATGGATAGGAGCACCATTGCCGTTACTACTACCCCCATTCGGTGGCGGCGGACCAGCCATAGGAGGTGGACCCATGTACCCTCGAGGAGATGTCGGACCTCGAGAGTACAGTGCCGAAGGGAATGGAGGCCCTAACAAAGACCACTCAGTGACCACCAACTCCTCCTCAACTGACTACCAATAGAAGGCATTTGGGTCTGCGGGGGAGGCGGCGGTGGATGCATCAACTGTGTATTTGCTGATGATGGTAGTGGTGATCCCGTCCCCCCTCCTCCTCCTGATGACGATGATGACTGTCGTGATTGTTGTTGTTGTTGCGGCTGTGGAGACTGTGGTATCCGCACATCGTACGTGCTACTGCTGTTGCCGCTGCTTCCAGAGGCCAGGCCCATTGACTGGCGACCGAAATACATGAGAATTGCTCAGTGTATTGATAACAAGGTAGCGAGGATATTAATAGTTCTGGTGAGAGGCGATGGATAGTGCCCAACTCAACAGCATACTATACTAACCAGGACAATGAATAGGACCAAACCAACAACACAATAAAACTGACCACAAAAAAGAAACTGAATTGATGTCGCAGCAGCAGCGGCACTCGGCCATATAGACTCCCACTAAGGCATGCTCTGAGGCCTCATGATGACGACGCGAGTTATCCTGTAAAAGAGTTCCCCAACTGCAGCTACCACATTCCTACGTGCAGGGGATGACTGTGGCTGCGACGGTTGAAGAAGGAAAGCGTCTGCCTGCTCTTCAGTCATAGTAGATGCTGCTGCCTCTGCACAGCAAACGTATGTGACCCTCTTCGCCACAACCCCTACGAGCATAGCATGATGAGCAGACACTATTGACACGCCCCTGGTTACTCTCCCAGAGGTATGTATTGTCCTTGCACTTCGCCAGAGTATCATCCAATAACCTACATAGAGCAGTCTCGATGCACACAACCTGCAGACCCCCCACCTATGGTAACTTTCCACAGCTATCGGGTCATCACCATAGCATATCGCTGCCTGCTTCATTGCTACCATACAGTCCACTGCCTTGTCGACGTAACTGGGAGGGATTGGGGACCGCCGAACTAAGTAAGACGGCCTTACTCGTAGCCGGGCTGTTGCAATAGCCTCACCGTTACTGTGGTCATCTTCTGGAAGGCTTCACCGAGCAAAGCACTAGTGACCCCAGAGCCTGCCTCAACACTGTCGGTAACAAACTCCTCAACGTCCTCGACTCACCATATACAGCTGTTGTGAAGTCCCTCACTGGAGATACCATTCCTATCTGAACTTGTGGGAACATCTCCGCCCTTCCTCCCTCAGCACTCAGCTGCTGTGCCGAAGTCGAGGGCGCTCCCCCTGGAATAGAGTCCGATGTCGGGAAGTCAAAGACCTACACC